CCCTCAAGCCATCCTAGGCATATATGAGTTCCTTCTTTCAGATGAATTCAATCAGAGTTATATTAAAAATTTACTTTGATCTTCCAAGCTGTTTAATTGCAGTTCATCAGTCCAAAAGAAGTGAAATAAAGCGCATCCATCCATAATAAAAAGTGCCTCACATGGCTCCGGGGGTGAACAAAGGCCTCCTGTAGCGAATCGATGCGTTTTTGTAAGAAAAATATCCATATTCAAAACGTAATAATCACTTTAATCTAGCTTGCGCTAACAGTTGTACACGGAAGCAGCTCCGGGAGGATGATGTAAGATGTCGGCATTGTGTATGCGCCGGTGAGTCTTGTGAAAACCAACGTTTGTTTACAGGAGCAAAGGTAGCAAAGTTTCCTTACTTTTGCAAAGGAAAACCTCTCCTTTAGGTTTGTATCGAAATCTTCCGACATTCTTCTTTACAAATCCTCGTTTTGCACTTCTAATTTGTGACCGTTGTTTTGTTTTGATCTCTCCCCTGTGCTTCCGCGTTCGTCATTTCTGAGCAGCGCATGCGCAAAGCCGGCCTCATACGTCATCTGCCCGGAGCTGCTTCCTTTTCCAACAGTGAGCGCAAGCTAGATTAAAGTGATTATTAAGTTTTAAATATGGTTATTTTTCTTACAAAAATGCATCGATTTGCTACAGGAGGCCTTTGTTCACCCCCCGAAGCCGTGTGAGGCACTTTTTATTATTGATGGATGTGCTTTATTTCACTTCTTTTGGACTGATGCACTGCAACACCCACTGACTGTCATTAAACAGCTTGGAAGATCAAAGACCATTTTTAATATAACTCCGACTGGATTCGTCTGAAAGTAGAAAGTCATATACACCTAGGATGCTTTGAGGTTGAGTAATTCATAGCTAATTTTCATTTTTGGGTGAACTAACCCTTTAACCACAAATCAGACAGGAGAGTTGATTAACTTCGGTGGACTTGCACTTGAAAAATGGTGTGTTCCGCAGTTGAAATAAAATACTTTCTGATGTTTATTCATGTACATTTCATGCTTTAAGTAAATATGAAAAGACGATCGGTTCACGTGTTTGAACTGAGACAATACAGTGATCTGTCACGGCACATTAAAGAGCCACAAAACGATATTTATTGTTTGAATTTCTTTAAAAATGACACAGTTTAAAAGCTGAGCGTCCTGAGACCTTGTTTCATACCAGAAGTAACCTGCTCTGTCTTGTCTGTCGGTGTGTTGTCAGTTTCCTCTTTGCTCTGCAATGTATTTTTCACTGCGTGAGAACATGATGTGTAGTGTGAGAGCGGCAATGTTTGTCAGTCATGGCAGCAGTAACTAAGGAGGGCGGGTCTTTGCAAACAGTCAATTAAGCAATGATATGGAGTGCTATAGTTCTTAAGTTAATACTTACATTTTACACACTTAAACATTAGCCTATTGCAAGTTGCTTGGTCTGTTTTTGCTCTGCTACTAAAAGTAATTCCAAACAAAATCCAAACAAAAGATAATTGCAGAATCAACAACTACATCTCTGAGCAACATCAATACTGGTGTTTTGTTCCTGAATGAATCAGTGTTTTGAACAAATCGGTTGAATGGATGATTCAGTGGCTCTTAAAGATTGTCGCCACCTACAGGCGTAACGATAATCCGCAGAAATAGTCACTGAATGATAATAGCGAATAGAAGCATGATGCCTTTACCTCCTTGGGTTGGTTTTCATTTCATTTAAACTTTCCTACAGTATTGAAAACATTTTAATGTCTGCTTACACTTACAACTCGTATTCCCATTAAAAATGAGTGTGCATTGTTTCTCTGCAATCTGTTCCTCTTAATTTGAAGGAATCCATGCATTGACAATTGTCCCTCAGAATATACGACATAAAAGCATTGTTAAGTAAAAGAATACAATGACACTGTGAAATACAGTCATGAGGCTCACTAAAAATTATATTACATTATATTCAGCCAAGACTTGAAGATCAAGGTCACATAGTTTGGTTTTAATTAGGATTTGATTATTCATGTAGTGCATAATGTACTATTCTGAGATTCATTGTGCTTCTGATGTCCCATCTTCCCATGATACTCAGAGGCATTTATAGTAACTACATTTAGCCCTGTGAATGCTGATTACCCTTTCAAGACACGGCAAATTGTATAGTAATTGTATAGCAGAATAAACTTACTGATTGAATATGTACGAAAAATAATGGTGATGGACTTCTCAGGGATTCCTTTATCTATATGAAAAGGAATTTTCTTCAGTTGTTCTCAGCTACGCTTTATCACAACACAAGCATTTTGTACCTCCTCACTTTTGTGTTTGTGTTTGAGCCCGAGGGCAAATCCTGAATTATGTCATGGAAAACTTCAACTAATTGTGTCATGTGGGTTTATCTCCTGGTGACAACTCCAAGATATTGTTGTCAAGGGAACCTGGAACCAGTTTAGCTAGCGGGAGTCTTAAGGGGGAGAGTTAGGGAGGGAGGTTGAGGGAGGTATAAGCTCATGTGAGGCAATTATTAGTGTTATAAATAACAGCACAAACATACACAACTGCATTAAGTATGAAGAAATGAGTTTCAGAGGTAGTTTACTGTAAAAGCCATCTACCATGTTGAAGATCACTATTTTATCTTGAGTGCTAAATTGTGTGTGAGGTCAGTACAATCAACTGCATAATTGATATGATATTTGAACCAGTGTTTACGCAACACAAGCAAGTTAAATATTGAAAAACAATCAGAAGTGCAAATAAGAATGCCTGGTTCTCGCAATGACTAAGTGTTTTCAATCAAGTTAAAAAAGCTGCTTATATGTCATTCACACAGTGTTCCTGGCTAATTATAAAATCTTTTTCTTCACATAAAGAGTTTATCCATTAAGTCATGCAGTTCACTTGAAGTGGCAGCAGGTGTTTAAATATACAGTTTTAAATTGTTCAGGGACACAGAGACTAAGAATCAGCCAATTCTCAACAGAATGTTATTCAGGCTTTCTATAAACATCCTATCTATCTATCTATCTATCTATCTATCTATCTATCTATCTATCTATCTATCTATCTATCTATCTATCTATCTATCTATCTATCTATCTATCTATCTATCTATCTATCTATCTATCTATCTATCTATCTATCTATCTATCTATCTGTCTGTCTGTCTGTCTGTCTGTCTATCTATCTATCTATATACCCTAACTGAATGTCAACTAAACTTTATCAGTGAAATCAACTTATCATTTGGACTGTTAGTTGTTTTTACAAGACTGAAGCTACTACAGGTTCTACATTGTGGTAAATTGGACAGCATTGATCTGATAACACTTTAGCATCAGTATTGACAAGACTTTACACAGAGGAATGACGCTGTGCTTCACATACCGTGTTCAATCTCACCTGATTTGAAAATTAACTAACCTTCACGCTATTATGGACAAAGCAAAGGAGTGCAGTTGGCTTCAAGTCACTGGTCTATTGATTGACGACTGATTACAAAACTATCCACAAAATGCTTTGCAAAGGCATATTTCAATCATCTGTCATTTAGTGACTGGTGGAGAAAAAGTGGAAACCACTTGAGCGCTACAAAAGCTTAGAGTAATGCAATTATTATTGAATAGTTCAGAATCTGTCTGGCATCAATGCAACACACAGACTTGAACTACGCAGACAATAGTATTAAACACAGAATGAGCCACAGACCACACAGGCAACAACAAGATGAGTTATAAAGCTGTGACAGCAGCTTTATAAAAGCAAGGAAATGTGTTTTTGCAAGAAAAGTTCCAGCATTAAATACATTTGTTATGCTATCATATCATGTAATTTGATGCATGTAAAATTAGAGATGGAACACTATTAAAATACTGTTTTAAATTACTTTAATTGGCAATTCTAAAATAATTTGTCTAGTAAATTACAAATGAAAGTACACATAAAAATTTTGATTATTGTGATATGAGGTGAATTTATATGTGATAACATTATAAAATAAAATATGAAAAATGAATATTAATTTTTGAGATTTGCTAAAGATTACATTTATGTTAATAATTTACTAAGTGTTGAGAAAAGCAGTAGTAATCTAAATATCAAATATCAACTGATACCCAGGGTTATTATTATTATAGTTAACTAAAACTAAAACCGTTAAACAATTTTGTCACTTGTTACATTATCTGAAATGTTTTATATAAATACAACTTTTATTTCAACTAGTTTCCAAGGAAACATTTCAAATTTTCATGTATCTTGAATTATTTGAATTAATAAAATATCTAAAGCTAAAACTAAAATATAATGAATGAAAACTATAAGCATATTAAAACTAAGAAAAATGACAAAAACACAACAAAATTACTAAACCTTAAAATAAAATCAAAATATAAATAATAATTCAAAATATTAATCAAAATTAATATCTTAATTGTACTAAAATAACCTTGCTGATAACCTTAACTGATATAGTACTGACATATTGTGCATTGCTATATAAAATATATGTAAACCAATGTTAAATATATCAAATGTGCGAGGTATATTACAATTTAGAAGCATGTGGTGAAGTGTTTCCACAGCTTGAATATGTAATCTATATTGTGGCTGTGGCACAAAAAAAAACCCCTGCACCCTCACCAAACATTAAAGCTAAGATTTTAATCCATGTGTGTCCCATGTGTCCATCTGAAATGCTCATTTCTATTGTCCCCATTCTATTTCCTGTGACAAGCCTTGCCTGATGTGAAAAGCTCAATTTTACACCCCACAGAGCTGCTCTGAATGAAATAAAAAAAAAAGCCTGTGTTAGCTGTTGTGCTGTCAGTTAGAAATTTGTGATGGCAGAGACACACTGTGATTTTTATTTTTGTTGGGCTAAAAGGTGGAGGTTAGACATGTGATGGTCAAAGCCTTGCCATTGGTTATCATTCCCATGCAGCGAGAACGGATGTGCTGTTTGATTCTGGCGGTAGCTGCAATAGTTCTGCCCACCTTGTTTGTCATCGTGAGGAGGGGCTTGCCTTCTGAGGACGCCTTATTGGGTATCTCCTTCAGGACCATGGCAACGGTCTTATCTGCAGCCCTAGAGTCTTTCCCCTACAACAGTGAAATCAACAATGACTTGTGTCAGGACAGAATATTTAAATATTCCAAGTATTATTCGTCCTACGGTGCTTAAAGGCTCAATGATTTATATGCTTTAAGATTAATATGATCACACTGAGCGTCAACAACACACAGCAAAATGAAACACTGCCTGAAGCCACACATGAAAACAGCTGTATGGAGCGTCAATATATTCTTTCTCACATCACCCTCAGTTTTACTTTGCGTGATGAAGTGCGATATCACAAAGAGGCCACCGCAGTCATGCGAGTGATAGGGCGGCTGTCGTCAACTGCTTTTATCTGTGCTACAGAGACAGAGACGTATGGCTAGTCTGAACAGTCAGTCATTTGAGGATTCAACTCCTGGGGAAGACAGCATCCTATTGCTCCAAGGCCTAGTTATATAATGGGTTAAATTCAATTGGCAAGCTCTAGCTTGGATTAACTCGCAGGGAATGCAGAGTTCAGAGAAATTACACTTACATTAAACTCTCAAATATACTAAAAAGAAAACTAAAAATGATGCATAAAGTATCTATCCATCTATTGTTCTGTCTATCAATCTATACACTGTTCTTTCTGTCCCTAAGGCCTATAAACTTTCAAACTTCAATGCTTTTTAAACTTGTTTTGTCAAGCCAACATTCAAAGTTTTTATTGACAAATGTAGCTTTTTTACTTAAAAATGATCAGTATCAATTACAAAATGTAATTTAATTTTTTTAAATAATTGTTTATACTTATTTACATTGTGTGCCCTCATAAAAAGATAATCAATGGCAAAACATCCATTGCAAAAGTCAGATTCATTCAAAGTTTGTCTTGACAAATGTAGCTTTTTTTTTTTTTTACTTAAAAATGACAAATACTAATTCAATTCTAATTGAAAATACCTACCTGGTCAAAATGTATCTGGGTGCACTTTTTAGCGAGACGCGAAATACGTACCAATAAGTAGGCTACATATCACTGCAGTTTCCAAAATAAATGAACACTAGAGGCAGTAAAACTCCGACACCTTTTATTCCTTTTCACACAAATTTACAGTTTCGATTAATAAAGCGTAATTTTCGCACAATTATTTGAAGAATATCATTTTATGACTTCAAAACAATATTAATATGCTGGGAGATTTGAAAACTGATGCTTTTGAACATTAGCATCGCACATATCCAGCTTCATATCTATGGGTTTTCAATGGCAGTAGGTTTGCTCGGTAGCTCACGGAGTACGGAGATGTACTTGAGAGGAGAGGAGCTCTGGTTTGAATCCTGTGTAACCACGGTTTGACAAAGCAGTTTAAATCTGCATATAAGGAAGTTTAAATGGCATGGTTGCATCAACAAATGCATTTTTATATCAGTTTTTCATTTGTTAACACTGTCGGGTAGGTTTAGGGTTGGGAATCCGTGTATCATTCGATCATTCGTTTTTTGATTTAATATTGAAAGTAGAAAAATGAGAAAACGGCTCGTTTTTCGTTTTTTTGTTTTTTTCCAAAAATGGGTGGAAAAATTAATAAACAGCTTGAATATTCGATTTCTACACGTGGGCGGGAATTAAACGCCCCTTTCTGCTGATTGGTCAGCCAAAGATCAAACCGTGACATCATCAGTTCTTCTGCAGTATCACGCAGCAGAATAATAGTCCTCCACTGCTGCAGTTGTATGGATTCTTAACGCATTTATTGCAACTACATTTAATCTTTTTTTGTCAAACAAACAGGCTAATGCATAGCTCAACACAACTCATACCTGGACAGAGTTTAGACAGGGCTTTCTTCTGTGTAGATATAAATTCTATTCTTTGCATCAGCTGGGCATGGCAGGGTATGATATGACAGCTGTCATAGCCTACCCTGCTCACCCAGTAAGTCTGTTTGTTTGTTTAATTAAGAAATGAATTAATTAATTTGTTTCAAAATAAATATTTTAAACACTAAGACAAAAAGGAAAGAAAAATAAATTGGCTAGGGTATATACAGGCCTATGTTCACGCAAGAACTGTCATTTTGACTGATAACCGGAGAACAACAGATATTAAATAGCCTACTGTTAGAGTTATATAATGTAGTCTTGTGTTTTATTAAAATTGATTATAACTGATATCTCAAAAGGATATGCACTTGTGCGCAGCGTGAGCTACTGCGCACTCGCACTGCAACGCAAGATTTTCATAAAATATAATAACTTGCCATTTCGGT